TCACGATTTCTCAACGACCTGACGCAGGGCAAATGTATGGTCACAGGTGCTTCGACCGCACCGAAAGCCACACTGCTGTTCTATTTTGAGGTCAGCTATTTCACGGCACCTCCTCTCTGGTACCTTTGCATAGTCTTTACCTGGCAGGCTCAATACTGTTACGCCCCTATGATTGGAGCATCCCTTGTGGTCTTCCTTCTTAAATACGGGTACAATAACTCCGTTCTCCACTCTGTTGGTGTCTTTCCCACAGTCATCGCAGTTTCACAGACACGTGTTAGCCAGCACATGCCTTGTTAACCTAATGCGTTGAGCATCTCAGGTCGAATTTCATCAATTGCAGCAGCTTTTCCATTTTTCAAGTCACAGCTTATGTAATTTTATCTACAGAGATAGTAATATCCGTACCCTTCTGCTCTACATTCGAGTCTTCCTGCTGTTACGCTGCTCAAAGTACTCCCTCCATCGCCGAAGAATGTCATCATTCTTGGTAAGAAGGTGTCCAGACCTCTCCTTCAAGACTCTGAGACTACCCGTCTTTTCACCTCGGAGCCGGCGGATGGTCTGCCAGAATACATTGTTTGCCATGAGGAAATTCAACTCCAAACCTCACCGAACTTCTCCCAGGAATCAGCTTTGGCTTTGTCGCTGCTATAGCTGCCGCCTTGCGTGCCTTGACATATCGCATGCGAGTAGGTGGCTCCTTTTTTCCAAGCCATTTCTTGAACGCTGCTTTCTTCTCTTTAACTGCCAGTTGTACTTCTCGTGTCCACCATGAAGATCTTTTCTGACCTCCAGGCGGCAGGCCAACCCCTTTTGTATCGGCAGCATTCGGCGGCAACCTCGAGTATGCCGCTCTTAAAGAGCTGCCACTCGGTTTCCACATCTGTTGTTATCACCGGGATCTCTTCAAACCGTCGTGCGATGTTGTTTGCAAATTTCGCTCTCGTGTCCACCGAAGACAGTGTTTCCCATTTGATTCTCCAGTTGTGTCTGCCACCGGATCTTCGTATGGTACTCCATTTCTTACAGCGCAGCGTGCCGACAACAAGGTGATAATCGGTGAATAGCTCTGCGCCTCTTTTAACACGAACATCCATTACTGTGCGCCTTAGGTCAGACGATACGATTATCAAATCGATCATCGACTTCTGTGCACAAGCTTCCGGGTACCAAGTGTACTGATGCGCTCTTCGATGCGAAGAAGGTGTTTATAATGGACAATCCGTTTTTTGTACAAAACCGCAGCAACTTCATGCTGTTATTGTTGAGGTCCCTAAGGCCGATTTTTCCAGTCGCGCTGTTCCACTTTTCAGCGTCTACTCCGACATACGCATTAAAATCGCCCACGAGTAGGAGGGACTCTGTATTCGGCAGGTCGGGCAGATCGCACTGCAGTTCCTCACGGAAGGTCTCATATTCTCCCTCCAAATTGGGGGCATAGACTTCTACTAAGGTCATCGATTTAGCCTGTTGTAGCTTCAGTCGGAGGATTACCACCCTTCCGCTGATAGGCTTC